GAGTAGGACATGTACAAATTTGAATGGGCTGGGTAAAAATGATAGGTCTACATGCCCGAAGGGCATGTGCTGAAAAAGAATTGTTGTGAAGACTGAACTAAAGCGACAGCGCCGGGTGATCATATAAAGTCCCCTTTATTACATAATAATTTGGCAAATTATCAACACATCAAGCTAAAATTTCCAACATATCTTAACAGTGAGAATTTTTATTTTTTAAGTTGAAACCTCGTGACCTGTGAAAAAAATGAAATTTGTATCCCATCTAAAGTCTTAAAATGTATCAAGGTAATTTTCGATACAAAAATGCGGTTGGGGTTATAAATGAAGGATAAAACCAGAGACCTCTGAATGGAATACTCTGAAGTCTCTGGTTTTATTCTACCCCCAACTGGAAGTTGTATCCAATCTAAAGTCTTAAAATGTATCGAGGTAATTTTCGTGGAATAAATGAGTGCTTTACAATAAAGAGACTCGACCAGAGATGTCTGAAACGATTTATTTGACAAGAAAAAAGTCTCTTGAAGCGAACGATGTCATTTTAAAGTAGGTTAATGATTGATAATGATACATGAACAAAATACGAGCTTGAAGCGGGGGTGCCTGAAATTGAGTTAGATACCTTGTGGTAAAAATAAGTAGGGGTGCACCGTATATGAAACAAGTGCCTGTGATTGATAGTCTGAAATTTCTCTTCACCTAAATATTAAAAGCTTGCAGTGATCGCTATAAATCTATACAACAGTCAAGTTACATATGGTAAACTAACATAAAAACAAGATTACAACAGTCATGATTACAGAAGGTATATTTTGAAGACTCTAGGTCAGTAGGTGAATGTAAACAGGTAAACACACGTGGGATAGTCACCGCAAATATGAACCACAAAACGACTTATAACATTAAAATGTAAATATTCATCTGCACACAGATTTTTGCATAATAATAATAATTTTTAAAAGTGTAAATTAAAATATAAAATAAACAAACCTCAAACCTTGTAACAAGGCTTGTTTCCCTACAATCTTATTCTGGTTCTCTGTGGTTCACTGAAAATGCAGGGAACCAGGCTGCGTTATTAACTCGTACACAGATTTGTTGATACGAATAAACCTATAAACATATATACGAAATAAAATATTATCATAAAAAATGAATTTCAAATTGCTTGAAAAATTATCTTTATGTAGTTTATAATAAATGGTTGTAATTGTTTATTAATTTCTATCTATCCATTAAAATTTTATACGTATATCAGCTTAATATGTATCCGTCTGAAAAATTATTGTTATTACACTCCCTGTCACATCTTCATAGTTAAGCCTGTAAGCATGGTAAGTAGGAATCAATTTCAGTTGAAGGGGACCAAAACCAAACATTTTTCAGTTTCATTTGGTGGGGAGGGGGGGGGGATATAAACCTCAAATGATTATTTTATCTCTGTCACTGAACTGCTGAAAATAATGAAGGGAACTAGGCTGCGACAATGATTTGTTGACAGAATTAAAATACGAAATAAATCATCATACATACGAAATAAAATAATTTCATGAAAAAATGAAGAATTTCCAATTGCTTAAAAAAAGAAGCTTTTCATGTATGTGATTTACAATAAATGTTTGTACTTTTATATTTTCTATATATCCATTAAAATTTCACAGTATCAGTATTTCACTATTTGTAAACATTAACAATAATATTAAATAAATGTTACACTCACTGTGGCTTTGACTGAGTTACTGTCACATCTTCATAATTAAACGAGAATATTCCCTTCCGTAAATATTGCTATATATATCTGAACTGTTACCAATTCATCTTTCTTTGGTGAAAGAAAACCTCAGGGATGGAGAATAGGCCCGTACGTAATTTAGTTGGAGGGGGGGGGGTGAGCACAACCAAACAACATTTTTTCAGTTTCAGGTTGGGGGAGGCTACAAACCAAAAAAAATTTTAATAAGCAAAAGAAAAATACATTATCAGAGGTTATTATTGAGGGGGCCCAAAAGCAAAAGAAAAATAGATCATCAGAGGTTATTATTGAGGGGGCCCAAGCATAAAGGAGCAATGTTTTCTATAGTATACCTAAATTTCAGCAAAATTACAGGGGGCCTGCCCCCCCCCCCCTTCCTTCAGCCATGTATTGTATCAAATCTGCTTCACCCTGATTCAGATTTTTTTTTACAGCATATATATTCTATTAGCAGAGGACCACATTATATTAATAAACAATTATTAAATTACAGCTATTTTTTTCTTACAGGGTCTGTTTCATTTATACTATATCATGATGAACATGTCCTGCATGATGTTTACAGAAAGTTTAATTTAAATTTTTAAGCTCGAAATAGCTGCGTCAACTTGCGAGACTATTTTTTCAACGTTCGGCCTAATCTTTAAATATTTAATTTGTTTGTGGACTTGCATAAAAGAATTAAAAAAATATAGGGGCCTATCATTTAACTTTATTTCGAATTTCCTTCAGGATTTTATATACCGAACTATAGTCTAACGATTATTTAAAATCATACTTTTTCTCTTGAAAGCTAAATTACTAGGCAAAAAAAAAAAAACAACAACAAAAAACCCAAACGAATGTTTGTCTTGTGTATTCTTAATTACAACTTATTACTGTATCATTTTAGTTACTTACCCAAATTTCTCAACATCCATGGTGTTCAGAGGTCATTTTCTGAAAACTGAAGGGGCATTCCGATGGCATTCGGAACAAATGACGGAAAGCACTTGCTAAGAATTCAAAACATGGTTCATAAATTTACAATATTTTTCCTTTTTAGGTTTTTAACATAAAACATGGAAAACTAAGTTAAAGAAACACTCATTTGAACAAATCAAAAGCGGAAAAAATATATATGCTAGATTTTTTGTTTAATTGCATGTTTTTCATGGTCTCCAAAATGCAGAAAAATTATCCTTTGAAATTATACGTAGGTTATAAATTCTTTTCTTTTTTAGGGAAGATGATAGAAATTAGACAACTTTTGAATGTTAAATAACAGAGTTAAAGATTAATAATATTTAATGGCAGACTGTTTATTTATCTATAAAAAGACATTTGCAATACTGATGAGGTCAAAATAATAGGGAGACCGAAAAAGGTCGCCTTAATCCAGTGGTCTCCCTAAGCCAGAAAATATATCCTCCTTGGTCTCCTAAAGCCATATGTCATATATATATATATATATATATATATATATATATATATACATGTATATATATATATATATATATATATATATATATATATATATATATATATATATATATATATATATTTATCCCAATGTTTCCTTGAAATTTAGAGAACAGTTCATTTCTCACGAACTACAATGAATGAGCAAGAATAACTCCATTGTGACATCATAAAACTGTACTTGACATCAAAAACTATAGTGCAAACTGTTTTGTTTTGAAAATGATTGTTTAATGACCTAAATTTTTGACAAATCATCAGAAAAATAAGGTAAATATAAGATGTGAATTTAATTTCGTAGAATTCATGATGTTCATAAACTACAACGCTTCTTGTCTGCATATTTATCTTGAGGCACTAACGCTCTTCAAGAAATATGCTGGCATATAAGTATGTATGATATTGGATAAATAACATATAAGTTATACGTCATTATAATTATTGTATACAACACGTTATCTGATTGGTTCTAGATTATCACGTGACAAGGCCATAAGACTTCATATTTCGTTGTTGTCATCATGCTTTTTGTCATATTCAACCTCTTCGGAGACCTAATAATTTCCCGCAATAGTTATATATGATTATCGTTCGTTGAACGAAAACTCCTGAGAGTAGTAGACGTCACAATAGCCTGGTTCACGTCACAAAATGGCTGATTGTTTCATCAGAGTCTAAAGTGTCCAAGGACTTCTGTAAATTATTTCAGTAACTTTACATTAAAATTGAAAGTGAATTTCAGAGCGGTGCCGAATTTGAAAGCTTATGTTTATTTTTAAGGTTTTTGCTTGTTTTGGTATACTAAACAATTTATTGCATAAATGTTTGGGAAACATGAAGATTTATTCAGCCAAGAAATAGGATAATCATATTTCCCTTGGGTGAAGCCCTCGGGGGAATATGATTTTTCTTGGCTGAATAAATCTTCATATTTCCCTCAATATCATGCAGTAAATGTATAATGAAATAAATGTTAACTTAGTATATATTTAATGATGATACCCTCTACTTTCGTATGATACATGCGGTTTTCATGGATAACCTTTTATTTTATACACTTCCTGTTGTCTGTGATGTTCAAAATTACTTCCAATTGGAAAATAGAAAGCCAATTTATGTTATGTATAAGTAAGGGATAGTTAAATCTGGTGAAGGAAAGGAGTTTGTCGACCTAGTAAACTAACATTAACAGGTCAAAGAAGGCTCGGATATTTGCTCAGTAAGAACAACACTAAGTGTAGAAAAATAGGGTTTCATTCCTAGCCCTACCAGCTCTTTCCCTAGGCTGAATTCCTTTCTATTTTTTCAATATTTTGGCCTGCATGAATCAAAAGTAAACAGTGGAATACTCAGTGTTTCCGAAGCATCGCTATAATGTTGTAATTCTTTGAATAATAAACATCTACAATAGGCTTTCTTTTTTCAAAAGCAATCATTTTGAACATTAGCAATCGACTGAAAGTATACAAAGAAAATAAGTTGTTATTGAAAACTACACATAAGTAATTAGCAAGTATTGTCATTTGATAAAAAAAAAACCTGATTTCAAACTACAGTCAAACCTCATTATCTCAAACTCAATAGAACTGAAGAAAAAGTTCGAGAAATCCAACGATTTGAGATATTGAGGGTAAAATACTTCAAGAGTATTTGGGACTTCCAATTCACTTCGACATATCCATGGGTATTCAAGATATCAGTGTTCGAGATACCGAAGTACAACTGTATAAATATTTTATTTTAAAAATATTTTGAATATATATATATAATTCCCATATCAATGTAGGAAAACATGCTGGGTATGTTTTGCCACTGAAGATGATGACACTAGCACCCCCTGGGTCCGACCCTGTCGGTGTCGGGGAACCACCAAATGGGTCCACCAGTTCTGCCTCCAGAGATGGATTGATGAGAAACAAAAGGGGAAAAGCACCACCAAAGTCGCATGTCCACAGTGCAACACAGAATACATCATTGTCTTTCCTAAACTTGGTGAGAGTCATTACAGGCTGAGAAAATATCTTCATTTCAGAGCGCTAAGAGAACGGTGTGACTTTTTCAGAAAAAAAAAAACTTTATGATTTATGTCACATCATATTTCTGTCTCTTGCTGTATGTTTTTAAAAGATTCAGAAAAGATGTTTGTCAAATATTTGATATCACGATTACTTAATGGAACTCTCTGGCAGTGGAGGTAGAAAATGTGTTAGCTGGGACAATGTGCGGTTGAATACAACCTAAAATCAATCATTGTAAATTTTTGAAGGACAGAAAAGAAATAAGTCCTGGTGAAATATCTTGCTGAACATTTGTTGAACCACACTTATAAAACTTAAGAGGAGCTAGTCCTTTTGGGTTAAATCTAATTTAATTCCAATAATTGTTACTTTTGGAAGCTGATAATATTCTCTGTACATTCCTAATTAGACACCTTACTATTTGGAGTTTATAGTTCAACCCTTGACAATACATCATACTTTTGGCATACTGATTGTTCAGATTATTTAATTGTCACTAGCATAAACAATGTTATTCCCCAGAAATCCTGCAAGATTCAGAGCTTCATTGACTTCACTGCAAAAGAGCGGCAGTAAGTTAGATAACTGCAAGGCAATTGTGACACTAAGTATTGAGGTGTACATAGATTTATTGATGATTAATTATGCTTGGCTTAAATATGTAAAGAAAATGAACTGTAAATTTCAGGTCCGGTGGTCTATGTGATGGACATTGTTGATCGGATCATTTATAAGGTCTGCCCCTTTGTGGCGGGGGGCATTGTGGTAGGATCAGTGTATTGGACCGCAGTGACATATGGTGCTATAACTGTGATGCAGGTAAATGGTCATTTTTGTTGTTGATTCCACCTTTCTTCTTATTCTTGGAAAAAGTGAATAACATGTTTTGTATCAATCATGGAGTTAATTCAGAACTCCAGCGTCCTTGAGGACAAAGTCTGTGTAAAAACTTATTAATAAATGTGTTAAATACTGCACAATACGACAACTGTTTTGGTTGACATACCGGTATATCCTATTCAGCTGAAGGACTTTGGAAAGGTGACTAGTGAACTTTGATAAAATGTAGTTTGGTTCTATTTAGGACAGCAGTCCACAACACAACTTAGATACAAACTTATAACTCTATTTGTTCATGACCTTGAAGAAAGGAGGCATGTTGGTCAGTCGGTATATCAGTTGGTCTGTCAGTAAATTAAGTATTTTCTAATCAATATCTCGAGAATCCTTTGCTTGACAGACATCAAATTAGTACACTGTAATCCCAGAGGAGTAGATGACCCCTATGGATTTTGAGGTCATAGGGTCAAAGGTCAAGAGCAAACTACTCTGGACACTGGAAGATATTGTCTAATCAATATCGCCAGAACCTGCTTGACAGATATCAAACTTGATACACTGGTTCCCCTTAAAGAGTAAATGACAACTATCGACTTTTAGATCACAGGGTCAAAGGTCAGGGGTCAAAATGGACAAAGGAAGGTTTTGACTTTCATTATTTTTGAGAACCCTTTGTTTGACAGATATCAGGTTTCCTCTTAAGAGTATATTAGAAGTATACCCCTATTGATTTTGAGGTCACAATGTCAAAGGTCAAGAAACTACTGTAAACACAGGAAGATATTCTGCTCAATATCTTGAGAACCCTTTGCATGACAGTCGTCTCACTTTGTAGTTTGGTTTCCATCTAGGAGTATATGACTCCTATTGATTTTGAGGTCAAAGGCCATGGGTCAGTCTACTTCATGTTAGAACATATTGTCTGCTTAGCATCTTGGAATCCTTTGTTATACAGACATCAAAGTTTCATATTAATATTTTTTATGAAACGTTGCTTGTTTTAAAAAAAATATGTACTTGTTTAAAAAAAAAGTATTATAGATGGAAAATGAACATAAACCAATGTTCCTTTTTTTTAAAAAAAAAATTGAAAGTGAATTTAAACTTGTGAAAATTAGCGATTTGAAAGGTTATATTCAAATACATGAAGTAGAGACTGTTTGTAGTTGCTACATAGTACATGTATTAAATAACATGATTCACAAGCACCTGGATGACAGATATCTACATGACACCATTACATAACCATCTGAAATGTCAACACATCTGTATAAACTAAAAATAGCTAGACTCCAGTCACAGACTTATGTAAAATGTAATAGGAAATTCCTGGATCTTATACAACAGTATACCATCACATACAGTTCTATTGATTAAGGTTTTCTTGTCTTTGACCTCCTGCCTTCACATTTTAAAATGTGACAAAATAGATTCACATTTCATAGATAAAGTAATTGATTCATTATCACCATGTGTAAGACCATCTGAGGTTTCTGTCCAGTGTCAATCAAAAAACGTACAAAAAAACTTAACATATGTACAACATCATTCAAAGGGTTTCATTTCATGTTTATATTGTTCTTGTAGAAAATTATAGTCATATGTAAAATGAATAGTATGTGTGAAGTATATGTCAACCCAAACAAAGTCAGGTGACATGTTGTTACAACCTAATTCTGTCTGTAGGAGGTCTCGCAAATGGCTTGAAAAATCTTAATGAAACCTTACAGTAATGCACTTGTGTATGCAACATTTAAAATGACCACTGTTGCCATGGAAACTGGGAAATGTCAGTTAAGGGTGACATGCACTATTGCTTGTATTGACAAAGTTTCTGGTTAATTTTAATCTGATTATTTTCAATAAATTCTCGACAGATATAAGGGGAAAAATTGATTAAATTCAGTATATATTTAAAAAAAAAAATTCCAAATCTGGATTACACTTTTCTTTTGATTTCTTTTTTCTGGTAAAGGGTTTTCCAATACCAACTTACTCATGGACGTTTAATCAGGAAATATAGAAAAATCTTTGGAATGACCTTATTAACTTTCTTACACATTTGAAACGTATAATTTTAGTTTTAATTTCTGACTGTCAGAGAAGATTGCGGGTTAATTATTCATATTGATCTGAAATCTGATGTGGTTTACACTGGTTATGTACAAATCTCTTGGATATGATGAATTGATGGTATGAACCTTATACTGTAAACCAACTTTTATTCGCGTGCGAGAAATATTTGTGAGTTTTGCAACCTACATTTACTCGTGAATATTAATAGCCGCGAACCATTTATTTTGCTTTGTATTTGTAGAGAATGTTTCCTGAGTTGCGGAAATTAATCGTCACGGATTGCTTTTAAACTGACGAATTGCGAATAAAAGATGACATGAATAATAGTTGGTTTACAGTATATACCACCATCTTGCAGGCTCTTGAAGTCATTTTTTTTTCTTATCACAGAAACATAATAAATCACAATGTACTCTTGCTGCCATCTTGATTTTTTTCTAGGACAGAAACATATTTTGTTTTTGTTAATTTGTTAATTAGTTCCCTGCTACAGTCATTTATTCTGTAGTCATTAATTAACTGGTGGGCATGGAATGCAACAAAAGTACACATTACACTGCAATTCTTAGACCTCTTCAAACTCTATATCTTGATTCTATATTCCTTTTTCTATGTAACTTTATAATAAAGTAACATGAAAAAAAAGAATAAAGAATCAAACAAGAACAAAGTGTAAATATTTACTCTAATAACAAGTACATATACTGTGGAATCAGTTTTGCTTGTGGGGGATCAGTGTTCATGGATTTTGGGGGACACCCATGAATTTACACACCAGTGAGCATCATGCCACTTTGTCAACAAATCAATTCATTGAATCTTCAGTATATACAAATTAGCCACGAAATTTTGTCCCAGGGAACCAGTTAAACTGTGGTTCCCCATGGACATTGACCCCTATAAATTGAAATGATCTCACAGTATCTTGTTAGTTGTATAGTACATATATACATAAATAAATACCGGTACATAAGGAGACAGCATTTTTCTCTCTGTCGACTTCAACCTTTTAGTTTTTTGTAATGAAGTAAAGGATTAGAAGTAATTAGATTTTTGTATAACTGTCATAAGATTATAATTACAGTCAATCATTAGATCCATACAACAGTGTCTGGATGTTAGAGGGGTGTATTAATAAACAGAATGATGTTTAGCAGGCTTAAAATGTGCTCATTGCCATTTTCTGTTATTTTCAAAGCTTAAAAAATACAGTTGAACTTCGATATCTTGAACATGGATATCTTGAATACCATGGATATCTCAAAGTCAGTAGGAAGTTCCAACTACTTTTTCTTTATGTATTTTAACCTTAGTATCTTGAAGGCTCAGATATCTCAAAGTTTTTTCTTGTTCCCATAGAGTTGAAGATAACAAAGTTTGACTGTAATTTAAGCAAGAGGCTCTTGCATACATATTTTTTGTATTTTAATCTCCATTTGGAAATTTTGATAGCTTTTATATTTCTTTGCTTATGAAAGTTTGACCAGGAAACAGGTAATAATTTTTCCAAAGAAAGTGTAAAATCATGTTTTTGATGCTTCTGATGAAGTCTGTTTAGGGACTGTTGGTAATTTGGGGCCTTTTCTAACAAGTTGTGACAACTAATTATAATGGATCAGGAGATACGATAGTAATTAGTGTCAGTCTTGTTAAACAGTATTGATCTTAACCCTATCAAAAATGCAGATACTTTTGTGTTTAAAGGCAGTGTCTCATGTAACTCTTGCAGTTGCTCACAGAATAAGGAATTCATAAGCTTGCACTGGCAAGATGGCTGCCTAGTGGAAATGATCCCTGATTGTATTACAAATCATGCCTATTTGTCCAGCTTTAGTAGGAGATTATTAGAGCCTTTTGTGGCCATTATCAAATCAGTCTGCCTGGAATTCTTGATACGCTTATGATCCCCAATGTTAAATTGACACAGGCAAAGCATCAAGCATTGCCAGCAGCCATTATATGTCATCCATGTGGCTGAAAGTTCAACATTTGCATGACAGTGACTATACCTCATCTTATCTTTGGTATACCTTGCACCCCTTCCTCCCCTCAACATAAAAAAAAAAGAAAAAGCAAATCATTGAATCTGTTATAACCCTGCTCTTTAAATGTATGCTTTAATTGTAGGATGGCATTTGGCCAGTTTTTTTGCCCCTTGACAGTCTTTAATGCTACAGATTTATATTCTAGATTGCTCTCAAAGTACTGTCTGTATTATATATGTTGTCTACATCATATCGTGATAAAGGCTTTATGTTTGTAACATGGGAGTCCATTTTTTAGCTCACCTGAGCTGAAAGCTCAAGTGAGCTTTTCTGATCACATTTTGTCTGTAGTCCGTCTGTCTGTCCGTCCGTCTGTAAGCTTTTCAAATTTTCGACTTCTTCTCCAGAACCACTGGGCCAATTTCAACCAAACTTGCCACAAAGCATCCTTGGGTGAAGGGGATTCAAGTTTGTTCAAATGAAGGGCCACGCCCTCTTCCAAGGGGAGATAATTAAGAATTGGTGAAAATTTGGTGTCATCTTTTAAAAATCTTCTTCTCAAGAACCATTGAGCCAGAAAAGTTTATACTTATGTGAAACCTTCATTACATAGTGTAGATTCAAGTTTGTTCAAATCATGACTCCCTGGGGTAGGGTGGGGCCACAAAGGGGGATCAAAGTTATACATAGGAATATATAGGGAAAATCTTTAATAATCTTCTTTTCAAGAACAACAAAGCCACAATTAGTCATATTGATATGGAATCATCCTCAGGTAGTGTAGATTTAAGTTTGTTCAAATCATGACCCCCCGGAGAAGGGTGGGGCCACAATGGGGGATCAAAGTTTTACATAGGAATATATAGGGAAAATCTTTAAAAATCTTCTTCTCAAGAACAACAAAGCCACAATTAGTCATATTGATATGGAATCATCCTCAGGTAGTGTAGATTCAAGTTTGTTCAAATCATGACCCCCGGGGGAAGGGTGGGGCCACAATGAGGGATCAAAGTTTTGTATAGGAATATATAGAAAAAAAATCTTCTTCTCAAGAACAACAGAGTCACAATTAGTCATATTGATATGGAATCATCCTCAGGTAGTGTAGGTTCAAGTTTGTTCAAATCATGACCCCCGGGGGTAGGGTGGGGCCCAATGGGGATCAAAGTTTTACATAGGAATATATAGGGAAAATCTTAAAAAATCTTCTTCTCAAGAACAACAGAGCCACAATTAGTCATATTGATATGGAATCATCCTCAGGTAGTGTAGATTCAAGTTTGTTCAAATCATGACCCCCGGGGGTAGGGTGGGGCCACAATGATGGATCAAAGTTTTGTATAGGAATATATAGAAAAAAATCTTCTTCTCAAGAACAACAGAGTCACAATTAGTCATATTGATATGGAATCATCCTCAGGTAGTGTAGATTCAAGTTTGTTCTAATCATGACCCCCAGGGGTAGGGTGGGGCCAAAATGGGGGATCAAATTTTTACATAGAAATTTTTAGGGAAAATCTTAAAAAATCTTCTTCTCAAGAACAACAGAGCCACAATTAGTCATATTGATATGGAATCATCTTCAAGTAGTGTAGCTTCAAATTTGTTCAAATCATGACCCCCGGGAGAAGGGTGGGGCCACAATGGGGGATCAAAGTTTTACATAGGAATATATAGGGAAAATCTTTAAAAATCTTCTTCTCAAGAACAATAAAGCCACAATTAGTCATATTGATATGGAATCTTCCCCAAATATTGTAGATTCAAGCTAGTTTCAGGCATCCTCCAGTGGTAGGAGGGGGCCATAATGGGGGATCAAAGTTTTACAATAGAACATATACAGGAAATATCTTTAAAAATCTTCTTCAATCTCAAGAACAACAAAGCCATGATCAGTCATATTGATATGGAAGCATCTTCAGGTAGTGTACAATCAAGTTTGTTCAAATCATGACACCCCCCCCCCCCCCCCCCCCCCCCCAGGGTAGGGTGTTAGACATATTTAAAATTCTGTTTTAAAGAACAGCAAAATCATGATTAGTTATATGAAGATAGAAGCATCCTCAGAAGGTTTATATTCAATTTCATTCAAAACATGGCACCTTGGGGTAGGGTATGCCTAGAACAGGCGATCAAAGCTTTATATATGAATATATAGGAGAAATATAGGAGAAGAAATCTGCTGACGAAGAACAGCAGGGCCATATTGACTCAGGTGAGCGTTGTGGCCCATGGACCTCTTGTTTAAAGTTTTAACCTAATAATCCCCCCCCCCCCCCAATTTTTTTCTTCCTTTCATTTGTCTTGCATACCTTAGACAGAAGATATTAGGGAATCAATATCTATCTAGTGAATTGAACTTGACCTCATAATAAGTCCCATTAACAAGCAAGACAACCAGGGTTCTGCCCATTTTGCCAAAGTTGTAACAAAACTTGATTGAACCTCTTATTTTTATGAAAAAAAATAAAACAAACTTTAGAAAAGTCCAAGGTCAGTGGCAGGAAAACGTGTTTAATCATAACTTTTTAATGGAGATGCAGGAGGTTATACCTCTGACAAGCAAAGATTATATATCAACAAAAGGTTGAACCAAGTTTATTTTGGCAAGGTCAAGGTCACTTTTAGAAATTTAGGAGCTCATTGTTTGTACAAAGATTTCTTATGAGCTGAGGCTGTGTTAGGACCTTGATCAAATATCATTTGGTCAAATTCAAGGTCACTGGCTCTTGTTTATCTAGCTGGATAAAATTATGTAATTTAACTACTTGTTCTTACAATTTGTTTATTCAGTTAAATAGACTGTTTGCTCTTTTCCTTGTGTGCCCTGACACTGTCAAAATTACCAGCTTGCTACTATTTGTAATATGCACTAGCAGAGTCCTATATTCTGCTAGCTGGTGTATATGCTCACCATCAGCAAACTTTGTATTCATTGTGGACCCACAATGATATGTTCCTTTATATTCATTGTGGGCCCACAATAATATGTTCCTTTTAAATCATTGTGGACCCCCAATAATAAATTCCTTTATATTCATTGTGGGCCCACAATAATAAGTTCCTTTTAAATCATTGTGGACCCACAATAATACATTCCTTTATATTCATTGTGGACCCACAATAATATGTTCCTTTGTATTCATTGTGGACCCACAATAATAACTTTTTATAACCTTTAAATTTCTTTCTCTGCAGAAGAGAGGCAAACTTGAAGGTGTAGTTTTTGGGAAGTGAGAAATTTTATACTGAAAATGCAGAAGAGGGATAAACAAAAATAACTGTAAACCAACTTTTATTCGCATGCCAGAAATATCTGCGAGTTACGCGACTTTCTTTAACTCGTGAATATTTATCGCCATGAACCATTTATTTTGTTTTATATATGTATGAATGTTTCATTCGTTGTGGAAATTAATTGTCGCAGATTGAATTCAAACTGAAGAATCGCGAATAAAAGATGAGCAGACACGAATATTACTTGGTTTACAGTATCTGAGAGTGAACATGTAGATTTGACCATGCAAATATGCATAATTATAATGTAATAATGCATTAACTAAGCATGTTGTTAGTATTTGTATATTCACGTTTTGCAGGTTTTGGGTCACAAGGAGGGCCTAAATGTAATGGAGGGTGTGGATCCAATTTTTTTATTGATCTGTCTACCAATTATTCCTGTGGTTCTTATCCTTGGTAAGATGTGTCGCTGGGAGGATTATGTTCTAAGATTGTGGAGAAAGCATGTGGCCAAAATCCCTTTCCTACAAAACATCTTATCTAGTGGTAAGTGGTTTGTCCACCATTTCTGTCAAACCATTCCAGAAAAGTAGTAATTATTACCGTAGATTAAAACAAATATTTTTGTAATAAATCTTTTTTCTGTAGTTATCGGCACTTAAAAATCATTCATCAACCTGCCATATCTATCTTAAATATTATAAAGTAATGTCCTGAAATAGCAGCTAGGTTGTACAAATACAGTCTGTTTCAAAGATGTTCGTTGGTGTCAGTAGGGCTATATTTATTGCAAATTGAGTGCTCTTAAGATTTAAGATCAAGTAGCAGTCTTAGAGTTGTCATCATTTCCTGGAGAGGGTCAGGGTTTTTTTGTTGTTATTATCGGGCTGACAGAGTTCTCTCCCATTGGTATGAATGCTAACAGTAGATACAATAAATTACCAGTAGATAAATGTGTAGATTTGGTTACAATATCACGGTGTAGTACCTAAACGGTTGCTATCAGAAAAAATGCGCGTACATTACTGCTATCTGAAAATTGTGCGGTTGCTATTGGAAAAAAATGGACGAAATGGTAAGTATTTTTCTTCGCTGGCTCAATAAAATGGTCAATAATTCAATTATCAAAGTTTAGCTGCTTATTATTTCACCCTTACGGAACGTAACATACCTTTTAAAACTAACATGTATCTCTAATTTTTTATGAATAAAAGGATTGTTGATGTATAGAACGAAAACTATCGTAAGTCTCGGACACACTTACATGCACATAAGACATATATTTAATTAGCGTCAAAATGTTTAGATAATTGATAAAAATGAATCGACAGATCGGTGTATTTTTGTAAAATGTATTGATTATTTCAAAGAATTACCCATTTCAAACGGTTTCTTAAAAACAAAAGCGTTTTCATGCGGAGAAACTTATGTTACGGCTACTATTAGACAACAACACCGGTTTCTATTGGAAATGTCTTAAGTTTTCAATTTTTCTTTAATACACGTCCTTAATTCACATCTATTATGCAATAGTTTAGAAAACTATATTTGAAATATTCATTCTATATTCTTTTTAATAACTGACTTGTTTATATTACCTTGATTTATTTCAATATCTATATGTATGGTATGACTAATAATATAGTAGTGTTTGTAAATACCCTGTACATTTACTAAGTATCCTGCACACAATAAAATTGTTAGTCTTTAAATTATGTACACCTTCCATTGAATTTATTAGATTTCACCTGAGTAATTACTCCAGATTCACAAATAATGGATCGCTCATGTTTTTTTGTTTTATTTATTTTTTATTTGTTTTTGTTTTTTTTTGGTTGGATATAAACTATAAACTTTTATCCAATGAGTTGTGGTAATATAGTTTCTTTAGAATGGACATGTCCCAAACACTTTTCAAAAATTGAAGGCCAGTAGCCCTTTTCACAAAAAATCTTAAGTTTTTTGCGTAAGATTTTAACTTAAGAATCTCTTACGACAAATCTTAAGTGCGTTTCACGAATGCATTCGTAGCAGATTGAACTTAAGATTTTACTTACGACAGATTTCATCCCTAGCAACGACTTCACTATGCTTTATAATCCTTAAATAAGTGGGTGAAAATAAAAATAAAACTAAGTTTTCAACAATTGTCAGCATAACAAACATTATTGACAACAAATATCGAATGCAAGCGTTTGTGAAGCAAGGAAGTTTAAAATCTGACGTCACAATCACAAGTCTGACGTAAAAGTAGGTCATACGAAAATCTTAAGTGAAACTTATATCGTAAATATTTTGTTGTGTATTTCATTTGATTTTTCGACAATGATTGTGAAAAAATATGAAATGTTATTGGAAGTTCCTTTTAAAAGTTCAATTTAACGTGTATTTTGGTTTTTGCCGTTATATTTTTATAATAAAATCGATTTTAAAATACTTAGAGAGGGTTGGGGCTCTCGTAAAGTTATGACAGATTTTGCACTTACGAATTTCTTAAGACTTTTTGTGAAAACGATTTTTATCATAAGTTTTCACTTAAGATAAAAATATGTCGTAAGATTTTTTTGTGAAAATGTCCACAGATCAGCAGCATCGGATCCTATGTGTAAGCAAGGCAACCATAGATACACCATCCTTACAAGTTTCATCCAAGTGAGTGGCTCGCTCGAATAACAGACCTTATTATAGATGCTACTATATTGTACATGCAGTTCAAGAAACTACTTTTTTGAAATTCAATTTTTGATGTACGATTACAGTATGGTCAAACACTCCTAATGTCCAAAAAATATGTACATGTATTGAAAATACGAAAGTGGAATTGCACACAATTACCCCCCCCCCTTTCTGTTTCGAAAAAGACTACATTTGTCTGTAAATAATTGTAATGCCCTCTCCTTTAAATGTACATAATTATATATTACTTACTGGATAAATTATTAGCCTTTTTCATGTTCAGATCTCCACCTTTTTTAAGGGGGGGGGGGAGGGGGGGCAAAGCCCACTCAAAAGAGACAGAGAGAGAGAAATAGAAGTAAATATAAGAAAATTGAAAAGCAAACAAGTAGCTCAGTCTTCTCCATCTGAAAGACCTTCTTCTTTCGAGGGCCCCCCCCCTCCCTGGGGGGGAGTGATTGTCTCTTCTATTTGCATAGATTTGATAGTCCAGAAAAATCATCCAAAAGGGGGAATCGGACATCCTATTCATTCAAGATCCGATGGTTTGAATAATGCGTGTTAATTGTATTTCCTGATGCAACAGCGTACCAAAGCACTACCGTCAAAGGTTATACTGAAAATTTACTAGATATTATTTAGGTTTAAGTATACATATAGGCTACAAAAATTTAAAAAGAAATAGTTTTCGAAAGCTTTCCAAAGCTTTTGAAGTACTGATGGAAAAGTTCTTTCATTTAATTTAAACTTACGTTTCCTTCGTATAGCTTTCTTTTTGATTTTGTCTAGTGATGTTTTTCGAAGATCAGCTCTACTTGGCAGAACACAATAAATTCGAGTTAAGTTAATAAATGTCAATTGTACATGTAGACATTGTGTTCCATATGCTCTTTGGATGTTTTAAATAGATTTACTATGCCTGTGCAGCCATGAGATTTTTAATTTTCTCTTTCTTGATTGAAAAACAAATTATATTTCAAATAGCAGCCGGTGCATTATATTCAGTTTATAGCCGGTGCCTACATACCAACATTTCTGATAGTAACCGTAACTTAAGAAGATCGTGTTTTGTCCAAAAATCTCTTTCAAAATACACTTTTTTATAAAAAATTATCATATCTACGAATCATTATAGATTGACACATCTTTACATACCAAAATGAACTCAGACTAACCTGTAAATGATGAAAAGAAGCATGGAAACTTCGAGTATATTGACTTGCGAATGGGTAAATGCTTCTGAAATTTTACTATATTTAAATTTTTAGAAGGTTGTTCTACAAAATACATCTGACATCATTTAAAGAAATCCCTTACTTGTTCCGTGCACAAGGATTTTTCTGAGACTAAATCGATTTGGGGTCACTTTCTGACAATTTTACCTCTTGTTCCAAGTTTTTCCGACATATTTTTTCAGCTAGTAGCCGTAAAATTTACGAATAGAAACAATGAACGCTTTTTTGTTCAGATAGCAACCGTTTAGGTACTACACCGTGAATATGTAGCTCTTTTTTCTGTAGATATATAGATGTGGTTACCTGTAAACTGTTACCTGTAAATATATAGATGTGGTTACATGTAAACTGTTACCAGTGTAAATATATAGATGTGGTTACATGAAGATCTGTTACCTGTAAATATATAGATGTGGTTACATGTAAACTGTTACTTGTAAATATATAGATGTGGTTACATGTAGGACTGTTACCTGTAAATATATAGATGTGGTTACATGTTAGTCTGTTACCTGTAAATATATAGATGTGGTTACTTATAGACTGGTGTAAAAATTAGATAACCATGGTATCTTTTCACCTGTATTTCCATTTACTGGTATAAAAATGTACAGTTTTCATGTAGGTGTATGTAGGCCAGTTAGCGTCTGTTTCAGTATAACTTGTTGAGTATTTCCTAGGGTCTAGGTGGCCATAAAACTGCAGCTATAGTCTTAAACACAAATGGCACTTTGGCACCTAATTATTTCGTTTTCTTCACTAGGGAAATTAATAGAGACTGAAGAGGCCCTTAGTTGAATGGTTATTACACATGTAGGCAAATCTTTATCAATTGATTTTGGAATATCCACTCCTTAGAATAGGAGTTGAGTTCAAAATTCCAGTGGGTGTTTTTAGTGTCTGTAAACCTTTCTGGGAGTGTATTGTAATAGCTAGACTCTTCTATCATGGTTCCATTGATGCTATGTCTGGGACTGGGGTGTTATACTTGCATTAAACTGACCATCCCATAAATGATCTGCTGACATCTTCAACTTAATGTACTCATTGATCTCATGATTTAAGCTTTAGTTATTCAAAACTTATTTTTATGCCCAGCCATGAATACGACCAGGACATATAGTGTTTGTCATGTCTGTCTTCCTTCCTTCTGTCCACTTGTTTTTCCATCTTTCCATCCATCACACTTAGCTTAGTTTCAAAGAAACTATTCAAGATATTTTTATTAAATTTCATATGCTGATACATATTGGTGAGAGCTATTCACCTGCATCATTTTTTATTTACCTTGACCTTCTCTATGACCTTGACCTTACTGTTAATAAATTTGTGTTCAGCTTTGTTTCAGAGAAACTTTTCAAGATATTTTTATCAAACTTCATATGCTAATACATATTAGTGAGAGTCATTAACTGCATCAAAATTTTTTGACCCTGACCTTCTCTATGATCTTGCTATTTTATTTTGCATTTAGCTCAGTTTCAAAGAAAGTATTCAAGATATTTTTATCTAAACACACATAGTGATTTATTTTGGTGAGAACTATTAAAGTGTGTCCTAAATGTATGCCCTTGACCTCACTTTTCTTTATTTTGCATTTAGCTTAATTTTAAAGAAACTGTTAAAGATATTTTT